CCCAGCTGGGAGTGTCACTCAGGATGTCTTTCCAGGACTTTTCATGACAGCTGTGGTGGGGATGGGGATTGGTTTGTGTGCCTGGAAATGGGCTCTTTTCAGGTTTGAAATGAATTAAACAGAAATGTGTTCAGTTAGAAGGGCAGTTGTTGGAGAAAGCCAAAGTAGCTTTGGAAATGTTTGTTCCAGTAATGGGCTCCATCCTCAATAATAATGGTAACCAGGAGTTGGGAATTTTTAAAGGTGCTGCTTAATCCTGACAGTGGCCAGGAGTGGGAGATGGAGCTCACCCACCCAGCTGGGAGGGATGCTGGAAAGAGCCACTGCAGGTGTAACCAAAATTCAGGTCCCTTAATCATTTCTGGCTTTATTTCTTAGTGTTCCTTCCACTGCTCAGAAATATTTGCTGTTGCTCCTGAAAGGGATTTACATGAAAACTTTCCTCATTGTTCTCCCTCACTTTCTCACTGGCAACATTTGACTCTTGGCTGTGAAACGACCTGGAAGTGCCCAGAGAGGATGGGTGGTAAGCAGGGATCACCACCAAGTGCCTTAGCAGGGGCTGTTCTCGTCATGACCTGAGGCTACTGGGAATGCAATTCCAGCTCTTTTGGGAGCCCTGCAGCAAAACCTGCAGTGATATTTGTTTTCCTGTGCACCTCCCAGGCACAGAGAGGGCAGGGGCTGCTGGAGAAGGGTCCTGGTGCTGGCAGGGCTGGGCAGGAGGGGAGCAGGAGGCAGAGATGTTCCCTGTGCTGTGCCCCAGGGCTGGCAGCTCCTGGGGAAACGCTGAGCTGGAGTTCCAGCCCCTGGAGAGCAGCAGGGAGATCTGTTCCTGTTGCCTTCACAAGCTCTGACCTTGTTTAGTGTTCTGGGTGAAATTTCCACAGAATCACAGCGTGGTTTGGGTTCCAGGGAGCTCAAAGCTCTGTTCAGCCCCCTGCCAAGGGCAGGGACAGCTTCCCATGGATATCTGCATTTCTAGAGCTGCCTGCCAGATTTCCTTCCTGCTCAGAAGGCAAAGTGAGAATGGGAAGGGTCTGGAGGGGTTTTGCCCAGAGAAAATAGCCAGGGAGAAGCTTCAGTATCAGTTCTGTGCAGGATGCTGGGGCTGTTTGTCCTGCACTTTGAGATGGGGATGGAGCACAAAGAGTAGCTGTGCTAGCTGAGGATCAAACCCTGACCTGATGAATTTCTGCAGGAATAAACCCTGAGCCCTGACAGATGTCACTCAGCCATCAGCTCACACAGAGCTCTGCAGCTGAGGCAGGCTCCAGGCAGCTCATTGTGCAGCTGGGTTTTTGGGGGATTTGCAGTGTTTGCACTGCCCTGCCCCACGGGATGGGCTCGGGGGGCTCTGCCAGAGCAGGCTGAGCTTCCCCCGTGCCAGGAAACCACAATCAAACTTCATAGGAAACTGAAATTAGAAATGCAGCAAAGTGTGAACTTCATATTGGCCTGCTAGGAGCTCATTAATGTCTCAGTAGGGGCACTCCTGCATTATCTTAATTGCTCAGGTCCTCAAGGAAATTGCCTTGCTGACGTCTCCTGGCTGCTGTCGTGCCTGAGGTGGGTTCAGGTGCACCTTCCTCATCACCTTTAACGAGGGGCTGAGCTCAGTCCCTGCAGGCAGCACAGCCCCAGAACTGCTTGGTTTGGGTGTTTGCAGATGCTGGGCCTGGGGCTGACTCTGGCCAGGCTTTGGCAGGCCAGGCTTTGGCAGTCCTGCAGCCCCAGGGAGGGCTGCTGTGTGCTCTGGCGCTGGGTTTGTGTGTTCCAGGACCAGGCACGTGCCTTTGGTGAGCAACCCAAACGTTCTGTCATTCTTCTTGGAAAAAAGGGTCTGTTGAGCAGGGAGAGAAGGAGGATTTGGGATTGGATAACAACACCCAGAGAGTCTGAAAGGGAAAACTGGAACAGGGAGTTTGTGTTTCAGTGGGCTTTGCTCTGAGGTGACCTGAGTTTGTGTTTCAGTGGGCTTTGCCCTGAAGTGAGCTGAGTTTGCATTTCAGTGGGCTTTGCTCTGAAGTGAGCTGAGTTTGTGTTTCAGTGGGCTTTGCTCTGAGGTGAGCTGAGTTTGTGTTTCACTGGGCTTTGCTCTGAGGTGAGCTGTTTGTGTTTCAGTGGGCTTTGCTCTGAGGTGAGCTGTCCCAGGCTGCTGCTGGGGCTGGCTGAGGATGGAAGGAGAGGCTGAGGTGGCTCCCTGGTGTGTTTGTGCTGCTGCTCCTGCTGCAGCTGCTCTCCAACAGGAGCTTGAGCAAGACAACAAGTGTGACCCAGAGACAGCTCTTCATTAGCAGGAGAAAATGAAATAAATGAAGAATAATGGTCAGTGTTAGAAATAGATTAACGTCAATTAATCACTGACTAAGACAATGTTCCCAGCATTACTCATTCCCCCTTGCTGCCATCAGAACATCAGCCAGGCTAAGCGCATGTGAAAGCCTGAGCGTGGTGTGTGCTGCAAACTCAGGGACTGAGGAAAATCTGCTTCTCCCATCACTGAAATGCTCCCTCAGCTCCTGAGGGTCCTTCAGAGAGCTCCAGCTCAGCCCTGCCCTGCTGCTGGAGGCAGGGCAGCTGGGGAAGGGCCAGGAGCTCGGGGTCCCTTGGGGGTCACAGCCCCTCTGCCAAGGGGCTGGAGCCTTTGGGAAGCACACTGGGATTCTCTGGAGCTGTCTGGTGTGTCAGAGCAGAAAATGGGGAGAAGGTGGTGGAAGAGGAATCCTGCTTCTTCCAACTGCAGTTCTGAAGTGATGACAAAGAACAGATTTTACCAAAGTGAGAGAAAAATAAAACAGTGACGAGACAGCAAATATTTATCTGGATAATTGAAAAGCCCTCAGCAGAGCAGTGTGATGTGAAACAAGCGCATGTGAAAGCCTGAGCGTGGTGTGTACTGCAAACTCAGGGACTGAGGAAAATCTGCTTCTCCCATCACTGAAATGCTCCCTCAGCTCCTGAGGGTCCTTCAGAGAGCTCCAGCTCAGCCCTGCCCTGCTGCTGGAGGCAGGGGAGCTGGGGAAGGGCCAGGAGCTCGGGGTCCCTTGGGGGTCACAGCCCCTCTGCCAAGGGGCTGGAGCCTTTGGGAAGCACACTGGGATTCTCTGGAGCTGTCTGGTGTGTCAGAGCAGAAAATGGGGAGAAGTGATGGAAGAGGAATCCTGCTTCTTCCAACTGCAGTTCTGAAGTGATGACAAAGAACAGATTTTACCAAAGTGAGAGAAAAATAAAACAGTGACGAGACAGCAAATATTTATCTGGATAATTGAAAAGCCCTCAGCAGAGCAATGTGATGTAAAACTGTGTGGCTGTCCCTTGACACCACGGGCAGCATCCCTGGAGCAGAGAACAGGACACTGCCCAGCCTGCCCTCGGGTCTCGCTGAGCTGGGCAATTCATTTTTATTCCCAAGTGCACTTCAGTGCTGGCAGGGGCTGGAGGTGCCTGTGTGGAGCTCCCAGGTGGGCAGCACTTGGGTTTTAGCTGATTTTTACCTCGTGGGTGCCCAGTTTGGCCACTGGGATGCTGCTGGTGTGCATGGGAGCTGGGCAGGAGCAGAAGGTGCCTTTTGCAGGTGTCTGCAACGAGCTCTGACACTCTGGGCAGGGGAATTGTGGTGGCTGCAGTCCCTGGCACACCCACTGAAGGATTTTCCTCCCTGTATTTGAACAAAACGGGAGGAGAATTCTACTTGGCACACATATATAACTTTATGTTGCTTTTAGATATCCTGTTAGAAACACTGGTAAAGCACCTAATATCTGCTTTTTATACTCCAAGTGATTGAAGCAGCCAGCAGTAGTTAATATTTTATGAACAGTGGAAAAAGACTTAAAATCCAAAAGGTCTCCTTAGGAATATAAGCAATGCAGCAAATTCTGTAGAAGCTTTGCTTGCTGTAGAAGTGCAGAATGTGCTCCTTTTGATTTTCAGTTGAAAAACCAGTTGTTGGCAAGTTGGAGTACAAAGAGTTGCCACGGATAAAAGCTGGTATTTCAGCCTCCCTTTTGTGCTGATTGCAGAAAGCAGCCCTCGCTCTCCTCCTGCCCTGCTCTCTGTGAGCCAGAGGTGCAGAGCCCTTTGCATTGCTGATCCCGGGGCGGTGCAGAGCAGATCTGTTTTTCTGAGGAGGCAGGAGGGCTGGCAGATACTTGCAGGGTGATAAATCCTTGTGGAGTGCTGTGCAGAACCAAAGCTGGGGCTGCAGGGCTCAGCTGTTGAGTGGATGGTTTGTGCAGAGCTCTGCCCTGCCCTCCCTGGTGTCTCCAGCGAGAGCCAGGCCAGCTTTCTTAAGGAGCAGTCCCAGACTCTTACAAACAATTGCACAGTGGGCTTGGGGGTTCATGTGATGCTCAGGAGCTGCTCAGGGGCCTTGCTTAGCATGGGCAGAACAGCCCTGAGCACTGCTCTGGGCTCTCTGTCACAAGAGTCACTGTCAGGCTCCTCCACACTCTGCTGAGAGCAGGGGGAGCAGAGTTGGGACAGAGCTGAGTGTGCCCAGGCTGTGTCTGTGACAGAGATGTCCCTGCTCAGCAACCTTCACACTGTTCTTCATCAGGAGTAAAAACTGAACCTGCTGTGCCTTGAGCCTGGAGCCTTCATCCTCCTAAGGCTGAGGAAGGGTCTCCCTGGCTTTCAGCCAGTGCTGGCAGTGCAGAGCTCACCTCACCCTGCCAGGATCCCAAACCCTGCTAAAACCAGCACAGTGAGACCAGGGCAGTGAGGGGTTACAAGGGTTTGTGTGCTGGTTTGATTGCCTCAAGGGAAGGAGAGCTGGACGTGCACCAGAGCTGTGTGCAGGTGGGTCACAGCTTTGTCTGGGAAACGGGGAGCCAGGAAGGGATTGCTCCTTGGACTGCAGGGGAGCGTGGTGCAGAATTGCAGCTGCACACAGCAAAGCCAAAGCTCAGCTGAAGCCAGGTGCTTTAGCCGCTGCTGCAAGAAGTGCCATGAGTATGTGAATGTGTGTATTTATCAGAAATTGTTTTTTTCTACAGATCCCACAAATCAGTTATGCCTCAACTGCACCAGAGTTGAGCGATGACAGGCGCTATGATTTCTTCTCACGGGTGGTTCCTCCAGATTCCTTCCAAGCACAAGCAATGGTGGACATTGTGAAAGCTTTGGGATGGAATTATGTATCCACTTTGGCATCTGAAGGGAATTATGGAGAAAAAGGAGTCGAGTCCTTCATGCAAATTTCCAGAGAGGCAGGTAGGCAACGCCCGTGTCCCTCAGAAAGCGCTGCGGAAGTCATCCGTGTCGTGTTGTGCCGAATGTGACCGTGTGTTTCTAGAGCTCATATTTGATTCCAAAGCTGCTGCAGTTCTTTGCGATGCTCCTCAATGGCTCCTGGATGTTGTCATTCCTAAAGTGCTCGTGGAGGTTCAGAGAGTGGGAACCCTCAGTGGGTTTCAGTCGCTTCTGGGGGAAATAGAGATCCTTGAGTTGTACCCAGCTCCTCCTGCTGCCCTGGCTGAGCGTTCCTGGTGTGGGCACGGGGAGAAGGCAGGTCTGGAAAGGCTGAGCTCTTGTCTCCACAGGCTGGAGCTGTGCTGTGAGCTGCCACAGCCCTGGCTGCTGCCCCGTTGGTGCCCAGCCTGATCTGAGTCCTTTGCTTTGGCGTTTCCCTGCCCGGCTCAGTGCAGGGCATTCAGAACCTTTCCCCTGAAGGCTCAGGGGTTGCTGGTGTGGGACGTGGAGCCCCCAGGCCCAGTGTGTGGGATGAGACTGCCAGACCTTGGCTGTGAGTCCTTGGCAAGCTGATTTGCAGTCCGGGTTCGTAAGGGTTTGGAAACTCCAGTGTCTGAGGTGGATTCCTGTGCTGGGAAGGAGAAAGCAGCTGATGGAATTCACTGCTGGTGACGAATGCAAGGGCTGTCTCCAGAGGCTCTGGGGGTAGAACCCATCAGCACGGGGGAGGACAGGCTCTGCTGTGCTCCCCAAATGGGACTGGCAGGTCCCCACCCTGTACCTGCCTGGCACTGCCTAAATGAGAGCAGCTCAGTGCCCAGGCAGGGCAGGAGCTGCCAGGGAGGGGTCCCCATGCCCAGGGCTGGTCCCACAGCACTGGTTCTGTCTGCAGGGACAGGCCCCAGCTGGGTCCCAAACTGTCCCAGACTGTCCCAACTGATGGATCCCTCCTGGCAGCATCTTCAGGGAGCAAGCAGGGAAAGTCACTGGGCTTAAAGGAAAGGGCCTTGAGAGGGGGAGCTGGAATTGTTTCCTGATGTTGGTGTCACACAAGGAACCCGCATTTGCATAAATTCTTCTGTTCCTACAAATGCATATTTATGTGGTATTAAAGCAAATGGGTTTGGATTTAATACAGCAGGAAGTGACAAATGCCAGTGCTCATTGGAATTTAAAATTGACTTTATTTGCAAATATCCACTGTCGCAAACTCATGCCCAAAATGTGTTCCCTGTGTGAAGGACAGGCTCTGGCTGCAGAGCAGGATCCCATTTTCTGGACCCTGTGCAGAATTACATTTATTCCCTGAGCTGTCCATGCAGCCAGCACAAAACTCAGCCTCCTGCAGAGAAAGCAAAGCCTGAAGGCCAGCAGTGCCTGCAGCTCGGGGTGGATGTGGGTCATGCTGGGGATGAAGGCACTGACAGGGATGGTGCCTAAAGCTCCTCCTCAGACCTGGGATGGGATAATCCAATCCCCAGTGCTGCTTAGGGCCGTGCTCAGCTCCTTGTGCCACGCACATACAGCTCAGGTGGAGCTCTGATGGGATTTAACGCTGCCAGCAAGCTCCCTGGGGTTTCCACGGCTGGGCAGTGCAAGAAGATCCTGTTGTTGGCAGCTCTAGTGGAGCAGGGCTGACTGGAGATGCAGCTCCCGACCTTCCCTGGGGGCAGTGGAGCCTTTCCTGCCTTTGGGTTGTGAGCCCCTCCTCAGAGAGCCCCAGCTCCTGGTGTTCATTGGCAGGAGCTGTGCCACTGCCCTCCCTGCCAGGAGCTGTGCCCCTGCCCCCTGCCAGGAGCTGTGCCCCTGCCCCCTGCCAGGAGCTGTGCCCCTGCCCCCTGCCAGGAGCTGTGCCCCTGCCCCCTGCCAGGAGCTGTGCCCCTGCCCCCTGCCAGGAGCTGTGCCCCTGCCCCCTGCCAGGAGCTGTGCCCCTGCCCCCTGCCAGGAGCTGTGCCCCTGCCCCCTGCCAGGAGCTGTGCCCCTGCCCCCTGCCAGGAGCTGTGCCCCTGCCCCCTGCCAGGAGCTGTGCCCCTGCCCCCTGCCAGGAGCTGTGCCCCTGCCCCCTGCCAGGAGCTGTGCCCCTGCCCCCTGCCAGGAGCTGTGCCCCTGCCCCCTGCCAGGAGCTGGGCCACTGCCCTCTGCCCTCCCTGCCAGGAGCTGTGCCACTGTCCTCCCTGCCAGCAGCTGTGCCACTGCCCTCCCTGCCAGGAGCTGTGCCACTGCCCTCCCTGCCAGGGGCTGTGCCACTGCCCCCTGCCCTCCCTGCCAGGAGCTGTGCCACTGCCCTCTGCCAGGAGCTGGGCCACTGCCATCCCTGCCAGGAGCTGTGCCACTGCCCTCTGCCCTCCCTGCCAGGAGCTGGGCCACTGCCCTCCCTGCCAGGAGCTGGGCCACTGCCCTCTGCCCTCCCTGCCAGGGGCTGTGCCACTGCCCCCTGCCCTCCCTGCCAGGGGCTGTGCCACTGCCCCCTGCCCTCCCTGCCAGGAGCTGTGCCATTGCCCTCTGTCCTCCCTGCCAGGAGCTGGGCCACTGCCCTCTGCCAGGAGCTGGGCCACTGCCCCCTGCCCTCCCTGCCAGGAGCTGGGCCACTGCCCCCTGCCCTCCCTACCAGGAGCTGGGCCACTGCCCCCTGTCCTCCCTGCCAGGAGCTGGGCCATTGCCCTCTGCCCTCCCTGGAAGGGGCTGTGCCACTGCTCCCTGCCCTCCCTGCCAGGAGCTGTGCCATTGCCCTCTGCCCTCCCTGCCAGGAGCCTGGAGCTGGATGGGCTCGGGACAGGGACAGGAGGAGAGGACACGGCCTCGAGGTGCCCCAGGGAAGGCTCAGGGTGGGTGTTAATGAAAACTCCTGACAGGACGGGTTGGGCAGCCCTGGAGAGGGTCAGGAAAGGGCTGGAAATGGCACCTGGGGGCAGAGCTGGGCAGGGGTGGCAGCACAGTCCCTGCCTGGCTGTCCCCGTGCAGCCCTGCAGGAGCAGGCAGATGTGGCAGAGCCCAGGCTGGAGGGAGCCCAGCCCCAGTCTGAGCCACCCCAGCCAGGAGCTGGGCTGTCAGCTCCCAGAGGGCTGCTGGCATCTCCCAGTCTCTGCCTTGGCACAAGGGGAGGTCTGGTCCGTGGGCACCTGCATGTTTCCTGCCTTTGGCTCGAATCTGCAGCAGGCTGATTATCCTCAAGGCAGAGTTCCATCCAAACTTGTTTCTGATCAGCCGGGATCTTAGGAAATCTGAGGATCAGTCGAAAGTGCTTCCCCTGCTTAGTTTTCAAATATGCTTTGGCACATAAAGACTTTGCTTGATCCTCTGAGTTAATAATTCTTCACAAAGTGACTTTTATTATGAGCACTTCAAGCGAGTTTGAATATGTCATTGTGGCAGGAGATGAAGATTTGAAACATGCTCTGCAGTCTGTGGGATTAATAAATTAGGGGAATGGTCTAATTATGGGAAATCTAAAGGACAATTTCAGATTATTAATGAAACTACTGAATACTTGAATTTCAAAGATTAATTCATCTTTGATTTTTTTTTAAAAGATTAATCTGTACCAGAAGGTTAATTGCTATCTGTAAGAAATATATATATTGAAGTCGTTAGCAAAAGACCACTTGAATGCCTCCTAACAGATAAATGAAAGATCTGGAGTGCATTTATGAATGTTCTGCTCTCCCCAAATGGCCCATTTTCATAGCTGACTGGGGCTTTGCTGCTCTCCCACTCCTGGGCTGGGGGTGAGGAAGGAGCTGGAGCTACAGGATGTGGGATGTGTGTCCCTGCTTCTCCCTGCTGTGCTTCCCAGGGCAGGGCTGCCATGGTCAGGGCTGGCAGGGCTTGTTCTGACTGGGCTGAACCTGGCAGGGCTGGTTCTGACTGTGCTGAGCCTGGCAGGGCTGGTTCTGACTGGGCTGAGCCTGGCAGGGCTCTCAGGGCTGGTTCTGACTGGGCTGAGCCTGGCAGGGCTGGCAGGGCTGGTTCTGACTGGGCTGAGCCTGGCAGGGCTGGTTCTGACTGGGCTGAGCCTGGAAGGGCTGTTGGTGCTGCCCAGGGAGGAGCAGTGAGGATGGGGTGAGGCTCTGGAGGATGGGGTGGGCTGAGGGAGGATGGGGTGAGGCTCTGGAGGATGGGGTGAGGTTCTGGAGGATGGGGTGAGCTGGGGGAGGATGGGGTGGGCTGGGGGAGGATGGGGTGGGCTGTTGGGGCTGCCCAGGGAGCAGTGACTGCAGGCTGGGCTCAGCCTCTCCCCCTGCAGCCCCTCGGGCAGGGCAGGCAGACAAACCCGGCTCTGAGCTCGGCTTTGAGGGGCAGCTCAGCAAAGCAGAGCTGTGGGTGTGGGGTCTGGGCTCTTGGCAGGGTCACAGAGCCGGGGTACTCATGAGTGTGAGGGTGCAGAGGACAGCTGGAGCTTTGGGGAGGTCTCCAGGGAACTGCTGGTCCTGCAGAGCCCTCCTGGGGGGCTCAGTGCTGTCCCTCTGTCTTTGGCTGTGTTCAGTCACTCAGCTTTGATGGGAATAGCCTTTACCCATCCTCTTGGGAGCTGTTTTCTGGATCAAACACAGCAAAAACAAATGGATAAAGCACTCATAAAACCGAGTCATTTATATCCAAGCACTTCAAGTGTTTTCCATTTTTCTTCCCACTTTTCCAAGTACTCAGGCACGTGTCCTTTCAGTGTGCAGTGATGTTAAATAACAACATTATGAAATCTATTGTTCTCCCTCCTGTTGTCAAATAACAAATGTTTTGTCATTTCAGAAAAAAACAGCCAGGAAAGATTGCTGTCTGAGTTTGTAGTGGCTCGTGTTGTGTGCTGCAGCCTGGCAGGGTTAATGAGATTTCCTGTTAATTGTAGCTGAGCTGGGAGAAGATGCCCTGGCCTTGATCCTCAGGAGTGGCTGGGGTTGCATTGAGAGCTTGGAGGAATTTCTGAGAGCAGGAAAGCAAAATCTGTCCCTGGGAGTGCTCAGGGCTGCTGTGGCTCGTTGGGAACTCATGAGCAGTGCAGAGGAGGGGGGTGAGCTGGGGTCCCT